GTGAGTATGTGTGTGTGTGTGTGAGAGAGAGAGTGAGGTGCTTTTTGGTGTGAGTGAGTTTTTTTTTTATAAAAAATAAAATGGACAATGTCATATAAAAAATGTGAAAAAATTCTCGGGGTCATGGGGGTAATTTTACAGGTGTCCAAGGGATAGTAGACCTTCGAAAGCTCTCCGTTGAGTGGAAGACCCCTTGAGAGGTTTTAAGCAGATATAAGGCACTTTGAGTAACATTTCTGTATACAGAAGAGCCTTTGTTAGACCTTTTTAAAGCTCTTCGTTGGATAGAAGACCCTCTTGTGAGTCATTAAAACGATATGAGGTTCTTTAATAGACGACAGTTTTGTTTTTCAAAATTTGGAACCCTATGTGGAGGAGGTACCAGAAAAAGTGGTCCGATCTCTACCATCTTTATAACAAATCATGTGTTGATGGAAATATTAAGATGAACCAAGTCTGAATGAAATCGGATGTTAATTTCGCGTTTTATGAGCTTCAAGGTTATTCAAAATTTTGACTCTTTTGTGGGGGAGGTACCGGAAGGGGTGGTCCGACATATTCCATCTTCACAGCAGATGATGTGTTAGTAGAAATAATGGGATGTGTGAAATTTGAAGACAACCGGATGCTTATTTCGGATTTTATAATCGTTTTGGTTATTTGAAACTTTGACCCTTTGTGGGGGAGGTACCAGAAGGAATGAACCGATCTCTACCATCTTTATAACATACCTTGTGTTGATAGAAATATTGAGATGTGCCAAGTCTGATTTAAATTCGCGGATTTAAATTTCGCGTTTTATAAGCTTCAAGGATATTAAAAATTTTGACTCTTCTGTGGGGGAGGTACCGGAAGGGGAGGTCCGACATATTCCATCTTCACATCAGATCTTGTGTTAGTAGAAATAATGGGATGTCAGAAATATGAAGAGAACTGGATGCTTATTTCGGATATTATAAGACTTATAATTATTCAAAACTTTGACCCTTGGTGGGGGAGGTACCAGGAGAAATTGTCCGATCTCTATCATCTTCATAAAAAAATCATGTGTTGATGAAAATACTGATGAGTGCCAACTCTGAATGGAATCGGATGTTAATTTCGCGTTTTATGAGCTTTAAGGATATTCAAAATGTTGACCCTTTGTGAGGGAAGTACCAGAATTAGGAAACCGATATATCCCATTTTCACTCCAGACCTTGGGTTAGTAAAAATATTGTGATGTGTGTAATTTGAAGGCAATCAAAGTCTTACCTTACATTTTATAAGAGTTATAATTATTCAAAGTTTTGGCCCTTTGTGGGGGAGGTACTTTATGGAGTGGACCGATATTGTCGTATTGGAGTCCTGACCTAGCACTGATGGAAATATTGAGATTTGCAAAGGCGTAACAAAATCGGATCATCCTTTCTCTCTCTGTGCAGGAAATTGTTTTTTTGGAAGTTTTCGATCTTTTGTGGGGGAGGTACCAGAAGGAGTTTACCGATATTGCCCATCTCCGCACTCGATTTAAATTTGATAATAATATTACACTGTACCAAGTTTGGATCAAATCGGATACTTCCCTCGAGAGTTATCGTGCGCACCAACTAGACAGACATACAGACGGACATCGCTAGATGGACTCCAAATTTCCTGAAATATATTTGGTCCAAAGAGACCATGGGTCTAAAATCTTAATTCGATGAGGCACGTTTTGACCGTATCAAATGAAATGATATATGCCCTCTCTAGCCATATGGCTGAGGGCATAAAAACTATCAACATGTCTTTTACGGTTAGAAGACCTTTTACAGGGCCATACATATAAACCCATTTCCAACCTTGAAAATTGCACCTCTTCGCAAAAAGTTTTGTTCGATTCGTGAAAAGTCTGAGCAATCACATTCTACCTCCAATTGTTCATTCCTTTGTGTTTGACCATCGAATCTCACATTTTTCTCTCCTCTCTCTCTCTCTCTCTCTCACTCACTCTCTGTGTAGCTCTTAATACTGGTATAATGTTAACAACATGTTAAACTGACACAATCAGAAATTAAAATAATATATATTTGTCTTCATGTCCAAAAAAAAAAAAAAAAAACGAAAAAAAGCAAAAGCTACAATCAAGGACCCAAAGGAAGAAAAGCCCTCGCACACACACATATGCACACACACTTGTGAAATAAATCAAATAATATTGAAATTCAATACATGCAACGAGATAAGAAAGCAGACATGTATAAAAGTGTCCGTTAAATGCGTGTAATGTATTTTGTTGTCGTTATTGTTGCTTTTTGTTGTAGTTCTCTCTTGTTCGCTCGCCCGTCCGCTCTCATGTCTCTCGTTATTGTGATGGATAACAATCGGGACATTGATTGCTTCAGAAATGCCAAAGTGCCGAATAAGGTGCTTGAAGAAAAGAATAATAACGACGATTAAAATAATTACATGTGAATGATGTGAGCTGTGGCTGGACTTGAATGGAATGGAATGGGTTGGACGGGACGGTACGGGGAACGATTGGATTGGTTGGGTGTCTGGTTGACAGATACAACGTAAATACATATTAAGGTATAAATAGTAATAAATGTCCTGTCCAATATGGTTTAAGGATAAGAATAATGATCCCTCTTTCAATGTCATTTGAAACTTTCGTTAAACGCATTTTGTTTTAATTAACGGAGCTGAGATAAGCAGAGAATACAGCGACAAAGAAAAACAGAAATAAATGCAAATAATGACAAAATGAAAGAAGGATGACCAAAATCTTATAGAAGAGCTGTAAGATTTAAAAAGAATGACTTTACATGAGACTTCTCACTAAGGGACATTTCGCTTTTTTATAGAAGAGCAGAAGTCTTCTAATGGACATTCAAAGATTTGACAAGATTTGTTTAAAGAAGTAAATTTGATGTAATTTTTTTTCCAAGGTACTTTTTAAGGTCTAAATGAGTGATGGATCTTGTTAAACTCTTTTTAATGACCACTTGAGTCCTGGATTTTTTAAACACTCTTTTTCAAAATATATGTCAAGTCAAGACGTAGTGTTTTTTTTTTAATTTTCAAAGAAACTTTTTGCAGAAAAGGTATTTTAAAAAAAAAATATTTTTTTAAGACCCGACAGTCTTGGATTTTTCAAAACTAGACAGCTTTGGATTTTTTAAAAAATATATATTTTTATAAGTCCAGACATTTGTGGATTTTTTAAAAATATATATTTTTATAAGTCCAGACATTTGTGGATTTTTAAAAAATATATTTTTTATAAGCCAAGACATTCGTTGATTTTAAAAAAATATATTTTTAAAAGCCCAGATTTTCGTGGAGTTTTTAAAAAATATATTTTTATGAGACTAGAAAGTCGAGGATTTTTTAAAAATATATATTCTTATAAGCCCAGATATTCGTGGATTTTTAAAAAAATATATTTTTATAAGACTAGACAGTCTTCGATTTTTTTAAAAAAATACTTTCCTATGCCCAGACATTCGTGGATTTTTTTAATTATTTCCACGCCAAACAAAGCCTTGGATTTTTAAAAAAAAAATATATTTTTTTTAAGACCCGACAGTCTTGGATTTTTAAAAACTATTTTTATAAGACTAGACAACTTTGAATTTTTATAAATATATATTTTCTTATAAGTCCAGACATTTGTGGATTTTTTCAAAAAATATATTGTCATAAGACTAGACAGCCGTGGCTTTTTTAAAAATATATATTTTTATATGCCCAGATATTCGTGGATTTTTTAAAAAAATATATTTTTATGAGACTAGGCAGTCGTGGATTTTTTTAAAAATATATATTCAAATGGCTAAAAATTTGTGGATTTTTTTTAAAAATATATTTTTATTTTAAAAAATATTTTAAAACTAGACAGCCGTGAATTTTTTTAAAAAATATATATTTTTCAAAATTGTGTTTTTTTAAATAATATTTTTTAAAGAATACAAAATAGAGAATAACAAATATTTTTTTTAAGGCCAAACTGTCTTGGATTTCAAAACAATTATTTTTGTTAAACCAGACAGTCGTGGATTTTTTTAGAGAATATATTTTTAAGACTAGCCAAAGTCATGGATTTAAAAAAAAAATATTTTGAAGACTAGACAGTCGTGGATTTTTAAAAAATATTATTTTTAAGATTAGCCAAAGTCAAGGATTTTTGAAAAAGTAGTTTTTTCAGACTAGATCATCGTGGATTTTTTTAAAAAAATATTTTGAAGAATAGAAAATATTATTTTTAAGACTAGCCAAAGTCATGGATTTTTAAAAAAAATATTTTGAAGACTAAACAGTCGGGAAATTTTAAAAGTATTATTTTTAAGACTAGCCAAAGTCATGGGTTTTTAAAAAATATATTTCGAAGACTAGACAGTCGTGGATTTTTAAAAAAATATTATTTTAAAGAATAGCCAAGTCATGGTTTTTTTTTTTTAAATAGTTTTGTTTTTAAGATTAGATCGTCGTTAATTTTTTTTAAAACGTATGTATCGAAAATCGAGGAAAAATATTTTTTTTAAACTAGAAAATCGTGGATTTACAAGAAAATATTTTTTTAAGAGTAGGTAGTGAATTTTTAAAAAATACGTTTTCAATATTAGACATTGCCGTGGGTTTTTAGACCATTGTTTTCAAGACTGCGGATTTAAAAAACAAAAGTTTTCTCCCAATACAAAAAAAATTTTGGATTTAAAAAAAGTAATCTCATAAAAGTTCTTCTCCCAGAAGATCTGAACGGTCTTCTCCCAGAGTAGCTGAAGGTCTTCTCTTAAAAGTGCTAAAGGTCTTCTCTCAGAAGGGCTGAAGGTCTATTCTTTTCACAGAAGGGCTGAAGGCCTTCTCTCAGAAAAAGGAGTTGAAGGTTTTCTCATAGATGTTCTTTTTAGATTTTCTCACAGAAGACCATTTGAGTCGTCTGAAGATATCTGAGTTTTCTTTCATCGTCATGACCAGAATTTAAAGTAGCATTCATCCCTTTGGTTTAATTTTTTTCTAAAACATATTTGTCTTACCTTGTTGTGTTTTCACTTGTACCGGTGTGGACATTGGACCAGCTCCCATTGATGTATAGGCCTGAACGCGCACGGTATAGATGGCGTGCGGTGTCAGATCTGATATTGTGGTTAGTTCACTATTATCCACCAGTTGGGAGTCCCAAGAGGCTTCTGGTTGATTGGGATTGGTGGTATAGTAAACTTTGTAGCCCTGCAAAGGAAAAATTCAAGAGATGATGGATTAGAAAATTATTAAAATCTTAAAATTAGTAATTATCAAAGTAATTATTACTAAAAGTTATATCTAAAATTAATTTAATTAAATTTCCAAATATTTTGAAAATGTTCAATATTTGCTCTAAATAGTTTGTATTTATTAATGAAGCATTTGTTGCAACCCTTACACCTTTTTTCTCCCATTTTCTTCCCTTCTCCTCTCTTTAATTTTGCATAAATTATTTCCACTGGAGTTTTTGTGTTCCTCTTTTTGCAAACATTTTGTTTTTCATTGCATTATTGAATAATTCATAAATTTACTAAAATGTTTTAAAACTTGTTTCATTCTTTCGTTCTTCACCACTTGGTATGCATGTTGGTGACTGTGTCTGTGTGTGTGTGGTTGTGTGCATCTATTTGTGTGCTATTTGTTTATTCAATATTGGCCATGCATTATTTATGAAATTAAATGCTTGCATTTACAATTTGAAAGTCTAGAAATGCATTATAACTCTCAAAACTGACAATGGACGTTGGCTGCAGTGTTTCAAAATAATATTTATACACATGCAATGATTTTGTTTCGTAATGTACAGTACAACATCGATATGAGGAATGGTAATTGTAAAAAAAAAATTAGGGAAGATTTGTTTTTATTTTCTTGGCGAGAATTATAAAAATTATAAAAAAAATCTTTTTTGAACCATGTGATCCAAAAAACTAAATATTTTATTTCTATGAACAATTATTGAAGAATAAAAATATGAAATATATATTTTTTGTGAAATTAATAAAAATTGATTGTTGTTTTGAAGACTATTAGTGTAAAATAAAAATATTAAATATAAATAAAATATTTAAAATTAATATTAAATAAAAAAAATTAGCGGAAATTTAAAAAAAAAAAGAAAAAAACATATATCTCTAAACCTTGGGAATTCAAAAAATGGAGTTTATTCATGGGCAAGGCTATTGAAGTTTTAAAATATCAAATAAAATCGATCAAAAATTGAAATTCTTATACATTTTCAATAAAATATTTAAAAGCAAAATTATTAAATTTAATCAAATACTAAAAATGTCACATTTATTTTAACTAAGATTATAAATTTTCTTTTAAGAAATTATTATGAAAAATAAATAAATAATAATCCTTTCAGTAGTTAAAATCAAGGGCCTACTGTTTTTTGTTGCCTTTCCGTTGCTAAATCGATTTATATTTGTCTAGTTAAGTGATAAAATGTAATATTTAATGTAATGTTTTATGTTTGGAATTTAAATTTTTTGCATTTAAATGATGATGAACAGAAAGCTATTAACATTTGTAATTTTTAGAGCATTTAATGGAACAAACTTTTTTTTTCGCATTTAATAGAGAGTATGAATAGAGGGAACACATTTTCTTAAAATAATATTTTTATATTTTCAACGAGGAAATACGACGTGTTTTTTTTTTAACATTTTTTAAAGGAGAAAATATGACGTAGATTTTTTAGAAATATTTTTTCAAGAAATAAATGCAACGTGGATTTTTTAAAACGATTTTTTCAAGCAGTGAATGCAACGTGGATTTTTTAAAATGCAGCGTGGATTTTTTAAAAATATTTTTTTTTCAACAATAAATGTAACGTGGACTTTTTAAAAATATTTTTTGGAACAATAAATGCAATTTGAATTTTTTAAAAATATCTTTTCGAACAATAAATTCACCCTGGATTTTTAAAAAGTATTTTTCAAGCAATAAATGCAACGGATTTTTTTTTAAATATCTTTTCGAACAATTAATGCAACGTGGATTCTTTAAAAAATATTTTTTTCCGACAATAAATGCAACGTGGATTTTTAAAACGATTTTTTCAAACAATAAATGCAACGTGGATTTTTAAAAAGATTTTTTCAAGCAATAAATGCAACGTGAAGTTTTCAAAAAATATTTTTTCAAGCAATTAATACAAAGTGGATTTTTTAAAAATATTTTTTTAATATTTTTTAAGGAGATACTGTGACGTGGGGTTTTTATTTTTTTTCAAAAGGAAATTGCCATTGATTTTTTTGAAATGCATTTTTTTAAATATTTTTTTTCAAGGATGAAATGCGACGTAGTTCTTTTTTTTAATGATTAGATGCATCGTAGATTTTCGAAAAAAAAAAAAAAAAAAAAATAAGGAGATAATGTGACGTGGATTTTTAAAAAATATTTTTTTCAAGGGGAAATTGCCACTTGCATTTTTCTAAAATATTTTTTTTTAAGAATGAAATGTGACGTGGTTATTATTTTTTTTTTTCAAGCATTAGATGCATCGTAGATTTTCGAAAAGATATAATATTTTTAAGGTGATAATGTGACGTGGATTTTTAAAAAATATTTTTTCAAAAGGAAATTGCCATTTGAATTTTTTGAAATTTTTTTTTAAAGGAAATTGCCACTTGCATTTTTTTAAAGTAATTTTGTCAAGTATGAAATGCGACGTAGTTATTAGTTTTTTTTTCAAGCATTAGATGCATCGTAGATTTTCGAAAAAAAAAATATTTTGTAAGGAGTTGATTTGACGTGGATTTTTTAAAAGTATTTTTTCAAAAAGAAATTGCTAAGTGGATTTTTTAAAAATATATTTTCTCAAAGAGAAAATTCTACGGGGACTTTATAAAAATATTATTTGGAGGAGAAAGTGCGATGTTAATTTTTTAAAAGCATTTTTCAAAGAGAAAGTGACGAAACTTTGACGTGGGATTTTAAAAAAGTATTTTTGCAAAGGGAAATGTGACGCGACTTTTTTAAATATATTTTTATAAGTAGAAAAGACGACGAGGGTTTTTAAAAAAATTTCTTTGAAAATATTTCTTTTTGCAGAAAATCGACGTGAGTTTTTAAGGGGAAAATGTGGCGTCGCTTTTTTAAAAATATTTTTCCAATCAGAAATTGCGACAAGGATTGCAATATATTATTTTATATTCTTTCAAGGAGAAACTTCAATATATTTTTTTAATATTTTTCAAACAAGATCGGTGTTGGTATGTTTGTTCGGGCATTTAGTTGTTGCATAGTTAGGCTTAATCCCATTATTGTTGTCTTATAAAAACAACGTTTGTTTATTAGTGGAGAATGATGGTAATTTTTATCAGCGGGTAAGGCAGGGAATACGTTGGTTTCGGAAAGAACCAACAATCCTCATGGATTTTTTAACTTTTTTGGACATTTTTTTCAAAATATTTTTTTAAATATTTTTACAAAATATTTGTTTTTAAATATTGGATATTTCAATGGCCAGATGTTTATAAAAACTTCACTTTAAGAAAATATTTGTGGAGAAAGTGTGGATTTTTTATTTTTTTAGACATTTTTCAAAATATCTCTTTTAATATTTTTACCAAATATTTTTTTTTAATATTTTTACAAAACATTTTTTAAATATTTTTACAAAATATTTTTCTTAAATGTTTTAGCAAAATATTTTTTTAAATATTTTTACAAAATATTTCTTTTTAAATATTGGATATTTCTATGGCCAGATGTTTATAAAAACTTCACTTTAAGAAAATATTTGTGGAGAAAGTGTAGATTTTTTTAATTTTTTTAGACATTTTTCAAAATATCTTTTTAATATTTTTACAAAATATTTTTTTTTAATATTTTTACAAAATATTTTTTTTAATATTTTTACAAAATATTTTTAAAAAAATTTTTACAAAATATTTATTTTTAAATATTGGATATTTCAATGGTCAGATGTTTATTAAAAACTTCACTTCAAGAAATGTCGATATATTTTAAATTAGAACACTTTCGTTCCTGTTTGATCAATGGGAACATATTTTTTAAACTATTTTTATAACCAAAAAAATAGCATCCACAATTTGTGTAGTTACTTTTCAAAATCATCTCTTTTCCAAAATCAAATAATTTAAGCCTTTTAAAAATATATTTTATTTTTAATAGTTTTTTTTTTTTCTTGTGAAATTTTTCACTTATAAATTCACAACCCATCAAAGGTAATTTGCAGCTAATGCCAATGCAAAGCTGTGCTAACTTTCTTCCAACTTTTTGCCAGAGACTCATATGTTTAGTATTTAGATTGGCATAACATCGTCTTAGAGCATTTAGTTGAGTGCCTCAATGCTAGCTTATAACAGAAAAAAATGTGCACACACATTCACTCACATATGTACTAACACATTCACTTATACATATGTATGCACTACCTAAGTACATGAGCATTAAATTAAGCTACTATATTTACGCTCATTAAATCACCTTTAGCATACTTAAGTATACACTGGTGTACTTAAAAATGTAAACAAACACACATATCCATACATACGTATGTGTGAGTACACACTCTCCTTATACCAAATCAAATACATATATATTTGAGATGTTCTTATATCAGTGTGTAGTGGTGATATAGCTTGCATGTTGCACTTAAGCAAATCAAAGTTTTCTACTTTCCACTAATATAGTAACTAACACATGTTTATACTCTGTATAGACAAATATTGGCATGTACGTATGCGTGAGAATGTACACAAAAAAGTTACCCAGTGAAGAATTCGGCTCAATATAAAATACTAGCTCCCCTTTAGAAATCTGATAAAAATTGATGCGCATATTGGCCAATTTCCGTAAGATGTCTATTGGGAACGTTTTTATACCGAGACATTTCGAAATAATTTTGACTAGAATTAATCATCCAAACAGAGTTTTAGCAATCAGGATTGGCCATTTTATCCTAATTATTTAAAAAAATTAGATTAAAAAAATTGAAATTTCCTTCTGGTTCTCCCGAACATGTTCACTGGGTTATGTGTGGATATTTGAATTTATTTCTTTGCATTGGTTTGACTTTTATTTTAAAACATACTTCAGGGCGTGTGTATGTATATATTTAATGGATTCGGAATATAAATTTATAAAAGTTCTAGCATATATAATTTACTTGTAATTGTTATCGTAAATTACGTAATAGTCTTGGAATAATTTTGCCCTTGTAAGTACAA